CCCAGCCCCGCGGAGAGGGATGCAGGAGGTTCCCGGGGATGCGGGAGGTGCCCAGGGATGCGGGAGGGACCCAAGGATGCGGCGAGGGATGCGGGAGGTGCCCAGCCCCGCGGAGAGGGATGCGGGAGGTGCCCAGGGATGCGGCAAGGGATGCGGGAGGTACCCGAGGATGCGGTGAGGGATGCGCGGCAGGGAGGATGCTCAGGAGGGCGGTGGGAGCGGGTGAGTCCTGCTCTGCTCCCGGCCCTGCCTCCTGGAGCGGTAGGAAGAGTTTCTAAAAGTCCTTTTTGGGAACTTTTCTCCTTGTGTCTATGTATGTCACAGAGGGTTTTTTTGCATCTCCCTTGCAGGACACGATTCACCAGCTGGAAAACGAGCTTAGAGGAACAAAGTGGGAAATGGCACGTCACTTGAGGGAATACCAGGACCTCCTCAATGTCAAGATGGCCCTGGATATTGAAATTGCTGCATACAGGTACAGTAGGATCGGGGCAGACACGCCTGGAATATTAATAGCACTGCAGATGCTGCTGCCTCGGCAAGCTTTACCACACCTAAGAAATAGCTGCACGCAGAGAAAACGTGTCAAATTAGAGCTTGGCTTAATGACTGCAGCCGTTTTAAAGCCTGTGCAGAGCTCAGAAGGTCATTAGGGACCAGCTAATCAGTGCCAGTGGGCACAGGACAGAGTGACTCAGTGCAGCAGCACCCGATGCCGCATTCTGTCCTTGGCTCCTGCAGCAGAAGATGCAGCGAAAGACGAGTTTATTTTTAATCCTCTTGGCTTTTGCATATGCCAAGCGAGCGGTGCTTGTCACTCGCATTCCCTTTTATCGCTCGTGGGGGGAGAGACAGAGCATTTGCTTGATCATTGTTTCAAGCAGGGAGTGCTAATGTGGCTGTCACAAACACTTTTGCTTTTCTTGCTTAACTTTCCCATCGCGGCAGCCTCTCTAATCTGAGCCGAACGCTGCTTGCTGTTGCCATCACCTGGCAGGTTTTTTTTGGGGTTTTTTTTTTTTTTCATCTCCTTTGTAGCACTTCTAGAACTCTCACTTGGAGAGCTGCTGATTTTTCTGGGTCACAGGCTTAGACGCCAAACGTGTTCGAAGAGAAGGAAAAGCATAAAAGCATCACCAGAAGCTGTTTAAATTCCTGAGGTTGTTCAGACAGACACACAGATACCTCAGGGTCTGTAGCTGTTACCAAAATTAACTGAGCTAAAGTCTCCAGATCTCACCCACACAAAGGTGAATGCCCAAATTATTCAACTAGGACATGTGTCCTAATCAGCTCTGAATGTCTCAGCCCAAATATTTGATTTGGGTGAATAGACTGTGTCCAATTCTGTTTGTCCAAGTCCTAATGCATCCTGTAAAGTTAATTATCTTGCCCTCCTCTCTGTTGATTTATGCCTTAATGAAGTTTTTTTGACATTAAGGATTAATTCCAGCTGTGCACTGAAGGTTTGCCACGTGCAAACCAAGCTGGAAGTTGTTTGCTGAAGAGGAGTTTGAAGATGGAATTCAGGGAAAGGGAGACTGGAACTATGGATTGTGCTGGTTAGTTCCAGTATATTCCATATGCAAACTGGTTCCATCCTGCTGACAGGGAAATATTGGAGTATCATGGAATGGTTTGGGTTGGAAAAGACCTTAAAGCTCATCTTGGTCTACTTCTGCCACTAGCTCAGGTTGCTCCAAGCTCCATCCAACCTGGCCTTGAATATAAAGCAGCCACAATTATTCCATATTTGTCCCTTCTGTTGGGTTTTTATGCTCATTCCCTTTTATTATTTTTTTTTTTCCCCTCCTGATTCCCTTAGGAAGCTACTGGAGGGTGAAGAGACAAGATTCAGTGCCTTCTCTGGAAGCATTACTGGTCCCATATTCACACACAGACAACCATCTGTCACAATAGCATCCACCAAAATTCAGAAAACCAAAATTGAACCCCCAAAGCTGAAGGTCCAACACAAGTTTGTAGAAGAAATCATTGAAGAGACAAAGGTAGAGGATGAAAAATCTGAAATGGAAGATGCTCTGGCAGCGATCGCAGAAGAAATGGCAGCCAAGGCACAGGAAGAAGAACAGGAGGAAGAAAAGGCAGAAGAAGAAGAAGGTGCTGAGGAAGAAGCTGTTTCTGAGAAAGCTGCTGCAGAAGAAGAAGCTGAGGAAGAAGAGAAAGAGGAAGAGGAAGGAGAGGAGGAAGAAGAAGCTGCAAAATCTGACGCAGCGGAAGAAGGTGGCTCCGAAAAAGAAGAAATCGAGGAAAAGGAAGAAGGAGAAGAGGGTGAGGAAGAGGGTGAAGAAGCTGAGGCCAAGGGCAAAGCTGAAGAGGTAACAACCAAAGCAGAGAAGGTCAAATCACCTCCCTCAAAGTCTCCTCCAAAATCTCCCCCAAAATCCCCTGTAACAGAACCAGCCAAGCCTGCCCAGAAAGAAAAAGCTGCAGATGCAGGAAAAGAGCAAAAAGTGGAAAAAGTGGAGAAAGCAATGAAGGAGGAGGAGAAAGCAGCATCTCCAGAGAAACCTGCAACACCAAAGGTAACTTCTCCAGACAAGGCAGCGACACCAGAGAAAGCTCCAACGCCGGAGAAGGCAACGAGCCCCGAGAAGTTGGCGCCGCCGGAGAAGTTGGCGCCGCCGGAAAAATCACGTTCCCCGGAGAAACCTTCCAGCCCAGAGAAGCCAAAGACCCCAGAGAAAGCAGTGACTCCAGAAAAACCTCGTTCCCCAGAAAAACCAACCTCCCCTGCCAAGGATGCCAAGGCTGTGCTGGAGGAAACCATCACGGTCACGAAGGTAACGAAGCTTAGCGCCGAGGCAGAGTCCAGGAAAGAAGACATCGCGGTGAACGGAGAGGTGGAGGAGAAGAAGGAGGAGGAATCTAAAGAGAAGGAAGAGGAAGATAAAGGAGTTGTCACCAATGGCCTTGACGTGAGTCCCATCGATGAGAAGGGTGAGAAAATCGTCGTCACCAAAAAAGCTGAGAAAATCACTGGGGAAGGTGGGGACAGTGGCACCACCTACATCACCAAATCGGTGACGGTCACTCAGAAGGTAGAGGAGCATGAAGAAAGCTTTGAGGAGAAATTAGTATCTAGCAAGAAAGTGGAAAAAGTCACTTCCCATGCTGTAGTAAAGGAGGTTAAAGAGAGCGAGTAGAACCAACCGTAGGCCTAACTTCCCAAAACTCAAGAGCTTGGCTCGGTGCAAAAGGTTAAGCCATATGACAGCTGCAAAAATGCATGTGGGGGTGGCTTCAAAGCAGAATGGGTTCTCTCATGGAGGCTCCAGACACACAGTATCTTCATTTTTTTGTGCAATATAGGGAAAGGGGGGGAAAAAAAAATAAATGCATGCAGGCTCGAGATGTATTCCCTCCACACAGCTTGGGGATCTCCAAACCTACTACTACTACTAGTGCATGAGATGAAATGTGCAAAAGGAAGCTTTTTTTCTTGAATTTCCTCAGCTTGTTGGAGGGATATATCTAAGGGAAGACTTTCAGATGTATTATGCAAAGAAAACCAACTGAGCCAAAAAAAAAACAAAAAACAAACTGAACAGAAAACAGTCATAGAATATTCATGAGAACCAGAACTCTCCTAGCCTTAAAAATAAATAAATAAAAACATAAAAAAAGCTACTTATAACTAATTATGTTTACCTCACTGGTGCAATTAGGGTGGACTTTTTTGCTCATGGGAGAACCTAGTTGACATGCACAGTCCGCAACCTTTTGTTGTTTGATGTAAAAGTCACAGCAGTTCTTGCTCAATAAAGGTCAATACTGAAAACATCACTTTGTCTGGTGGCTTTTTTCTTTTTTTTTCCCAGCTCAAATCCTTCCCTAGGTTGGATCTTCTGTGCTGAATGGGGAAAATAAGGTTGAAAAGTTGCTCCTTAGTGTCCTTATTAGTCCAAGATTTGGATTTTGATGCTCCTTGTGGGTTTTTTCCAACTCTGGGGTTTAGAATTGGGGATGATCAACAAATTTCCTGGGGAATACACAAATCCTGGATTAAGCAAATAATTCAGAGCCATATCCAAGGTTTTCCAGAGGAAAGAGGAATCCACTGAACTCTTCTGGTGGTCTTGAGGTGCTTAGAGGGATTGCAACTCCTTTTCTCTCAGGGAAAGGTCTCTAAGCCATCAGTGCTGCTTGTACTAAGTCTAAAGGAATAATTTTCCTCCTACCACACTCACTTCCATGTGTAAGGAATGTGGCAATTCCCAAATAATTCCTTGATTTTGCTGTGGAGATGACCTGGAGGAACCCCAAATGGTCATGGTATCTTGTTTGCCACCTAAGGATGTAAAAACTCATTAAGTAATCCCAATCAAGACACAATAAAGAAATCAGAATGAGGTTGAGTCTATTTTTTTCCCCTTCTTTCCTTAATTATATGGGAAGATCCTTATCAATTCCCTGCCTCAGTTGATCAAGAGGCTCAATCTGCTTCTAAACATGAAATTCCAAGCTCAAATCTAAACCCAAACTCAAGCATCTTCTCATTTCCAATGGAAAGACCTCCTAGATGGTGTCTACTGCCACTTCCACCTTGGCTTTATTAGCAACAGAGCCAATTAAAATCCTTCCCCATGGAAAATAAATGGAGATAAATGAAACAAAGAACTAGGAGGGGCCTGACTCCAATTTAGGAGCTAATACATCACTCTGGGATTAATATTATGGTTTTTTTCCCATTCCAAAGGGCAAATGAAGAATGTGACTCCTGCCCTAACTAGCAAAGAAATGCAAATCCTCTTTAAACCTGAATGTAGAGCATGAATTGCCCTCAAATCTGTTGATTAATTGAGGCTCTGAGTGAAAAATCTACCATTTCCATATGCTTCCAATTCTTTTCCCTATCCTTAAGTGAAGATCAAGTGGTTGTGAATTGAAAGACTTCAGTGTGGTCTTCAGTGAAAAGTGCCCAGCAGATAAAGCTTTCAAATCCATCTGAATATCTTTGCTGCACAAAGAAATGGTTATTTATCCTGCTGCTATCAATAATGGCAAGCTGAGCTGGCAGTTTGCTGGCTCAGGAAGGTTTAATTAAAGCAGAGTTAACAAATTAAGTGGCAGCTCCTCTGGAGGGAGTTTTTTGGGGAAGGTCATGTGTGTTTGTGACAGAAAAAAAAAGGACATAACTCCTTTATTCCATAAAGGAATGAGGAGTTAAGTGGCTCAGTCACACTCAATCCTATCAGTGCCTACACCAAAATGTGGGAGAACATAGAAATACCCAAAGAGTTGTAACTGGTTTTGTCTTGGGTATTACACACCACTAAACTGGTTTTGTCTTGGGTATTACACACCACTAAACTGGTTTTGTCTTGGGTATTACCCACCACTAAACTGGTTTTGACTTGGCTATAACCACCACTAAACCCCTCAAAAATAACCCAGAGGGCCAATATTCAACATCAAATTCTGTGTTTGTGCTTCCAAATAAGGTGTCAAATCTGCTAAAATGGCCCAGAGTGCAAACAAAGAACATTGGGCATCCTTAGCATGAAGATTTTATTTTTTTGAAGAATTTCTTTTGTTAGGGAGAGAGTGCTCAGACATTGGAATGTGCTGCCCAGGGAGGTGGTGGATTCACCATCCCTGGAGGTTTTCAAGCTGAGACTGGATGTGGCACTTAGTGCCATGGTCTGGTGACCACAGTAGGGTTGGACTGGATGATCTTGGAGGTCTTTTCCAACCAGGTTGATCCTATGATTCTATGAAGGGTCACCTTGTCCAGTGCATGAAATGTTGATGTCAGCAGGACCAAGCACATGGTTAAGAGGAGTTTTTACAGCTGCAGGTGATATCCCAGCACAGCTATTTATCATGTCAGGCTTTCCTTGCAGTGCTGCTACAGCTCCAAGAACCCCAAAACTCACATTTTCTCTTGTTCAGCTCCTGTTTGAATGTCACCAATCCAACCAGGATTGCAGGTCCTCACCCCAGAGCTCTGGACCAACATCTCTGGAATGTGCTGCCCGGGGAGGTGGTGGAGTCACCATCCCTGGAGGGTTTCAAG